TTGGTGGAGGAAGTCGGGTAAGGGGCTGGGTGGGGTTTTGGTAGAGGAGGTCGGATTGGGGATGGGGGTTTAAAATATTTAAAAGAAAAATCGATTTGTCACATTTCTTGTAACAAATTCGACATTTGCAGTATTCCTAGTTTATAGAATTTTTACATAAACCATCGTATTTTCTGTTAAAATCTCTATTGAATTGATATATCACATGGCATATTTATTATGAAAATTTTCCCGATTTAAGTGGTCACTGCGGCCGAACCCGAGGTCATAGGACATTATAAATCACATATTCGGACTCCTCGCTCAAAGTTCTATAAGAATTGATAATAATAACAGGTGTAAAAACAGACCGACTATACGACAAATATATGGGTTAAGGGATATGCATCAGTGAGTGTAAAAATGAGGACTTGAGAACCCGCATAACCCGCAAAATCATATCTAGTATAAATATATGCAATACTAATAAGCAATACAATGTACAGTGTTAAAAAATAACTAAACAATTTTATTCAAATGATCTAATTTCCAAATCATTTAGATAAAATTACGTAATGAGATGGTCAGATGAAAACTAAATTAACTGAATTGTTAACTGAATTAAGCACTTAGTGATCAAAATTATGAAATAGCCGAAACTAAATTAAAAACTTGATAAAGTCAACAATTTAGTTCATAAATTAGTTAATATAGTTACAAATTAACTAATTTTTGTTAATAAATTGCTTAATTTAATTTATAATTTAGTTAATTAAGTCAACAATTTAGTTAATATTGTTCACAATTAGCTAATTTCGTTAAATAATTGCTTAATTTAGTTCAAGTGTTTAATTTAATTTACTTTCGTCTATTTTATAATTTAGTTCACTAATTGCTTAATTAAGTTAACAAATCAAGCAATTTGTTAACAAGATTATCTAAATTTTTATCTATATTAACTAAATTGTGAACTAAATTAAGCAATTATTTAACGAAATTAACTAATTGTGAACATTATCAACTAAATTGTTGAATTAATTAACTAAATATGATTTTTAGAATAACATGTTTTTCAATATTTAATAACAAAAATAATTTCATTATTAGCTCAATACTATCTGATCACCCGGTACATAGAAGTGTTATCAGTATTGTTTGTTTAGTGCCTAGATATAGCCCAGATACTAACTATGTTAGTGCATGTGAGCTGATAAGCAAATCTATATCTCATTTTAAGGTACTTTGTTATAGACAGGACACACCTGTCACACCTGATAAGTTATAAAAACATTTAGATTCCATTCTCATGTCATAAAATTCATGATTGCATCCTGTACATACAACCAAATTATCATTTAAATTACATATACAATTATTAACATTAAGCATATTAACAGGTGTTCAGTAAATTAAATCTTACACAAGTTGTTAACAGCATTTGAATGTTATAGTTATTTATAAATTTATAACAAATTCATAAATAATAAAAGTTTAATTGTATTATATTGCACTTTACTTAAATAATATTAAAATAGCTATCGTGATGGACATTCAAAAACAACTTCAAAAACTAGTAGTAATTTATGTGCTTAGCGAAGTGCTGACTTCTAGACTAATACACCTTGCTATATTTGTGTACTTATTATTTACACAATATTATTACATAACTCTATTGTACCTAATTTATTTTTACATTGATAGAGATACTCCTAATCGTGGTATGTATCATAATTTAATTATTGCCAAAATATACTAATTCATGAAAATATTATATAAATATATAAGTGATTTATTTAAAGAAAATTGATAATTTTTGATTCAAAAAAATCTCCCTCTTTTAGAAACTTGTAAAATAGTATTACTAATCAATAAATGTGAACCAATTAATCAAAAAGTATATTACAAGTTGTAATTTACAACTATAGGTATATTACAAGTACTATTTAATATTACGGTACAATACAATGATATAAAATTAGATTTAACATGACTTTTGGTTATTGGCTCCACTAATGTCAAACTTTGCTACTTATTATACAACTAATACGGAATTAATACATATTGTAATCTTAAAACATATAATAAATAATAATAATAATAAAATATAACGTACCTAGGTGGTCGTTCATGGAAGTGGTATAGACGACTTAGCATTTTTAGACATTTTGCCAGTTATTTTCCACTGAAATTAGTCAAAACCCATGATTTGAACCCGGATAAAAACTACATATTTGCATGCCACCCGCATGGCATAATTGCCCTTTCGCATATTTATCATTTTACGAGTAATAGTCCCAGCTTTCAACAACTGTTCAATGGGTTTACCGTCCGTATGTGTGGCCTTATGTGGAACTTTTGGTTCCCACTCTGTCGGGATTCCCTAATGGCTATCGGTATTCAATTATTATACATTATTATACAGTACTATTAGATTCTTGATCGGTTCACCTATACTATCGGTTTACTTACCATTTAGCCTACTGCCAAAAATTTTCTAAGTTACACAATGTTGTAAATATTTAGAAAGTAAATTGTTATTATATTATATAACTTATATTATGAAATATAATACTATAACATTTAAAATAATTTATAAACCAATCCCTCATTAGTACTATACATTACGATATCAAGTAATTCAAAGTAGTTTGTTGGTAAAACTGATATTATATTCAAATATTTAACTAATAAACTTTAAGTATAATTTAATTATTTTAATTATAATAAAACTGTTGCTTGTAATCTAGGTTTTATATCGTCCAATAAATCTAGCATCGAATGGTGTGTAAGGTGTGTGTAATTTAGTTATATTGTATTCAAACACAATTAAAACTATTTATTTGCTAATTATATTGATTAGTGGCAAAGAGGGCACCGGAGGGCAAGTGGTGGCTGTAATAGTGGGCGGGGGTCGTGAGGCCCACTACGCAATGCCCTATACTATGAGACTTTGTCTCAAACATAGGAAAGGATTTGTGAAAATTGCGTTAAAACACGGGTATTGTATGAATCATACATTTTGTATAGTACTTACTCTATTGTATATGTGATATTTACTCTGTAAAATGGATCTGTATTATATATATGAACTACCAGTGCATCGTTGGTACCGGTGCTGGCATTCGGTGAAAATGAGTTATGGGAACAAAAAGTATTCACAAAGAACTCGTGGTTTGGTAAATGTCAGCAATATGCCCTAGCTAAATGCTATGTTACCATACCGATCCTCAAACATATACTTCCCTGGCGTAGACCAGTCACCACAGTTGGTAAGTATTATACTGTACTCTAATTGTATTGATACTTGTTTTGGATTTAATTATTATGACTAAAATATAATAGTTGGAAAGCCTATAGATGTGCCAAAAGTAGACAACCCTACCGATGATGAGGTCAATCAACTTCACAATCAGTATATTAATAGTTTGGAGAAATTATTTCATGAAAATAAGGCTAAATATGGTTTCAATGACGTGGAGCTTATTATTGAGTAATTATTAGCAATTACATTTTTATCATTTGATTTAAACGTTTGAATTTGTATTGTTTTATTTTAATTTTATCGTAATTTATTTAATTGTTGTTATTAAATTATTTAATCGGAACACTACCTTGTTGCTTTATAAACCGAGTAATACGAGCCCAGTGCTCTATCTGTGAGTCATCCCATAGTCCGGGACAGGCAGGTGTGATACGACCCCTGGCCTCCACACCGGTAGCCTCACTCATGACTAGTCCGGCGCCTCCACGTGCATACGATCCGTAGGCTACCAAATGCCAGTCCCGACAATACCGTCCCCATTGACTACGCTGTACTGACACATAGAGAATACGACTGTACGGTTACGGAGGGTTACCCCGCGTATTGTCAGTGGCGTAAATAGTAGGGACTGATTATTATTATTATTATTATTGGAACTCATATTTTAGTTAATTGTTTGGTAGGTTATAGTTTTTTATTACTTACTATTTATTTTAATATACTTTTTGTGGTGAGTATTTGTATTTATATATAAATTTTCTTATCTAATCAAATATATTAAAAAGTGTTGAGTAGTTATACCAGTGTTTGTGTGACATGTAGATTGTGGTTAGAATAGTGTACTTAATGTGATCTAGAATTTCATATATTTTATGCAGTAATTATGTACTTGGTTGAAATATTCTTGCCTAATAATGATATACTCAATTACTATTTTCATATACATTTATACATTTATACATTTTCACGTATAAATTTTTTACTGTATATAATTGACCATAAAAACCAGAATCAATTTAAACAGAATGTGTAATTTATACTAATACAAGGAATACAGTCAATAAAATACTCACTGAGAGTACAGCATATTATTTTTCCATCAAGTTTAAATTACCTATTTTATAAACGTGTCCATATTTTTATAATTGCTACGCTATGTCGTATATTTGAGGATTATTAGTATTTTCTATTATTAATTTCCAATTTGTTAAGTATTGACTCAAATACTGTTTATTAGACTATTAATTGTTTGTCTGATTCTAATGTTTTCTAGAATTTTGCATTCATTAATCATTTCTCAGATTGAGTCCTAAGTGCCTATTATTGGCTAAAATGCTATTTTCTATTTTAATCACTTTTTGCTATTAGAGAACATGTAAATGCTTTGTAAGCCTCAGTCTTGTTTTCGTGTTCACAGTTTGAAATAAAATCTGTTTTGAATGAATACTTCGGTGTTTATTTAATACAAAACCTCTGGCGTTAGACCTGCAATTCGGCAGTTAGGATCACCAGAGATACCCCGTCCCACCCGCGGTATCGTTCTCTGTGGTGATCATCGGACCACCACTGGGTTTACGCGGCGCTCAACTCAAAGGTCGGAAGGCATTAGTCCGCCGAACACGGATGTGATCCTTTGGACCCAACACTCGCAGCCCATCGATATTAAGAGAGCCGTCAGCTGTGGTGCAAACAGACCGACACGTGTTGGTCACACGCTCTCTAAAGTCAAGTCTGTCGGCTATACTCCGTTCCGCCCCTGAGTTCTGGTCATCAGTGCCGATGAAAAGCACGTGCTTTCAGACTACGATAGCTATTCAATTATATTTGTATTTGTATTTATATTATATATAATTATACAATTAATTTCATATAAATCATAAATTAAATAAATAAAACTAACAATATATGGTATTTTATTTTTTAGGGGTGAGGGGGGGTTAGGGTCATGCAAACGTAATTTTCAAAAAGGGTTACATGTGAACAATT